CAAAGGCATCATGTATATGTTCATACTCCCCTGAAAAAAACCAATCCAGTTGCCGTCGAGGCAATTCTAACTCATGGCAGCCCCATGCGTATCAGAGTGGAACTGAGCTCCATTGGATTTTTCAAGGCCGTGATCTTTTGAAAGCAGACAGACTACCAAGCTTTTCTTCTGATGCACCTCGAGGTGGGTTCGAACCACCAACCTCAGGTGTGGCTAATAAACAAGTACTTAACCCTTCACCCCAGGGACTCCTGATATTTATCTCCAAGTCTTGAGTTGGAGCACAGATACTTGCATATTAATGTTCACTGCAGCACTGTACATAGTAAGCAGAGGACAGAAATAATCAAGGCGTCCATCACCACATGGAATGGCTACACAAAAGGTGGCGTGTACACACAATGAAATATTAGCATTCCTTAAAGAGAAATGAAATTGTGATACATACTATAACAGGGATAAACACTGAGAATACACTGGCTGAAATGAGCCAGTCACAAAAGGATGAATATTATATTATTCCACTTATACGGAAAGACGTAGAACTAGGAAGGTGTGGTAACCAGTTTCTTGGAGATTTTACCAGTTGTTGCTTGGTGCCACTGAGTTGAGTGTGACCCAAAGAGACCCTCTGAAGGTCTGAACAACACATCTGAACCCTGTCCTATCCTGTGTCACCCTCACAGTCTCTAAGACACTCAAAACCATTGTTGCAGTCACTGTGTCAACCCATCTGGTTGAGGGTCTTCCTCTCCTTCGCTGGCCCTCTACCTTTGTAAGCATGAAGTCCCTCTCCAAGGAATAGCCTCTCCTAGCAATATAACCTAAGTGTGTAAGACGATGATTTATCATCTTTGCCTCCAAGGAGCACTCTGGCTGCACCTTCTCCAAGACCTATCTGTTCTCTTGGCCATCCATGAGATGTTCAGTACTTTCCTCCAATACCACAACTCAAAGGTATAAATTCTTCTTTTGTCATCCTTATTCACTGTCCACCTCTATGGGGTGGTTTACCAGAGACTGAGGGGGAAACAGGAGCACTGGTGGCATAATATAAGACTCGTCAGGCTGCAAACTGAAAGATCAATAGTTCAAATCCACCAGGCAATCCGTGAGAGGACAATGGGCAGTCTCCTCCAGTAAAGATTTACAGCCTTGGAAACCCAATGGCGTGTTTCTGGTGGCTATGAGTCAGATCAACACTGGAGCAGTGGATGGGGAAATGGGGAGTCATTTCATTAAGGGGCCTTGGGTTTCTGTATCAGGATCTGAGGAACATTAAAAATGGATAGTAGTGATGGTTGTGCAACAGGCGAAGTATAAGAGACGTCACTGAGTTGTACATTGAAAAAATGTTTACAACACCCAATGGTATGTTACAGCTATTTTTCACCAGCATTTCTGAAAAGCACTCGGTGTAGGAGTTCAGTGTTAACAACTCTACCAACATTAATTGTTAGTTGCATTACGACCAAAAGAGCCTTGCCGGAGCAGTGGATAGAAGCTCAACTGCTAACTAAAGGTCGGTGGTTCACATCCATCAGTCTTCCAAAGGGAGAGAGATGTGGCAGTCTGCTTCCGCAAAAACAGACAGCCTTGGACACCCTAGGAGGAAGTTCTAGGCTGTTCTATCAGGTAACTAGGAGTCAAAATCAACTTGATGGCACTGAGTTGGCTGGCTGGTTTTGGTATCCCTGCCAAGGGCAGCCTACTAGACTAACTGAGCAGAATATCATCTATGCTGTGACCTCTGTGTCTCCGCTCACATCTCTGACACACAGAGGTGGCTGTGAGGCTGAGTAAGACCTGTGTACACTCAACGCTGGGGGTTCTCATCCCCAGAGATGGGCTTTAGGGAAAGGCTAGTTCCACAAACCTCCTGAAATAATCACCAAGATTCTCAGGTCAATCTTCTATGGAGCGTTCATAACTCCCAGCAGCTTCTCAAAGAGGCATATAGTCCCCCAAAATGGCTCTACAGACTTTGGCTATAAATCAATTCATGGCGTTCTGGCTGGAAATCCATCCATGAGATTTCTCAGTAGCCTATGTCAAGGCATACTAACAAAACTTCAAGTACTCTGAAGATGGGGGCCAGCCTCTGGAAAACAGACATCATGCAGGGAAAGGTGGAAGGTCAGAGAAAGACAGGAAGCCCCTCAACAAGATGGACTGACACAGTATATCTGAAACGATGAGGACGACAGAGGATAAGGTAAGGTTCAGATGTGTTGTTCACAGGGTTGCTCTGAATGGTAGCAGACTTGATGGCACCTAACAACTCTCCTGGGCTACTTAAAGAATCTCCCCAGAGCACTGCTGCTGTTGTTTTGGGGTGCCTTTGAGTCAGGACTGACTCATAACTGACCTTCCAGTGGGGTTTTGGAGGCAGTAATTCACATACATGGGAGGAGACTGCCCATCCTCGTGGATTCAAACTGTGTTCCTTTGAGATTGCAGTGCCGCTTCTTACCACTAGGTCAACAGAGCTCTGCCACTGGAGCATAAGTGGTTTCCAGACGCCCTCTGGAGAATGACTTGGGTTGGAGTCAAATCCTCCTGGCCCATCTCTGTGCCTAGAACTGTCACCGATTGTTGTTGCTGTGTACCACTGAGTTGGAATTGACCCATAGCTGACCCTCTGGTGGGTTTTCAGAGGCAGTTAACTGCATGGGAGGAGAATGCCCATCCTTCTCCCATGGAGCTGCTGGTGGATTCGAACTGCATGCCTTCGGGATTACAACACAGCTTCTTGCCACTACACTACTCACTTGTCACTAACTAGTACATGTAAAAAAAATGTTGACATGGTGAAGACTTTGTTAGACACATTTGTGTCACAATAAATTTTTTAAAGTTGTTAGTGCTACCAAGGGCTGGGAGAGGGCAACATAGTGAATTATTGATGAAGTTTTCTTTGGAGTAATGAAAAACTTTTAGAAAGATTAACAACTCACACAATTATATGGGGACTTTAGGGGCCTGGGAGTGTATGTTAGCAGGGGAAGAAAAATTCAGAAAAAGAGGCAAGAATGATTACATAACTGGGTGTAGTCAGTGTCACCAAATTGTATGTATACAACAGTTTAATCAATGTACCTTTTTCTGTGCATGTTCTCAATAACAAGCTAAAAACTTGGAAAAAACCTTTTAAGAAATGCATGGCTTAGCAGTAAGAACTCATGCTGCCAAAGGTACACAGTTTGAATCCACCAGGTGTACCACAGGAGAATGATGGGCAATCAATTCCGATGTGATTTACCACCTCTGAAATCTCCCTGGAGGGTCAGCTTTGAGTAGATTCCGACTCAAGACAAGAAGTGGCTGTAAACACAGGGAATGTAATGAATGTCACTTGAATAATATACATAAAATTGGTTAAAATGGCAGTTGTAAAAATATTTCTAGAGTACTGAGAAGCAACAATGTCAGTCTAGGGACTGAGGTGCTCCTGATCAAGGCCATTACTTTTATGCATCAGTGAGCTGGACATCGACTAAGGATGACTGAAGAATCAATGTCTTTGAGTTGTGGTGCTGGAGAAGAGTCTTAAACATACCATGGACTGCCAAGAGAACAAACAGGTCTGTCTTGGAAAGGGTGAAACCAAGTTTCTCCCTGGAGGCTAGGATTTTGAAGCTCTGTCTCACTTACTTTGGGCACATGGCCAGGAGGGACTGATCCTTGGAGAAAGAACATCATGCTTGGAAGGGTGGAGGGACATTGCAAGACAGGAAGACCCTCGATGAGATGTATCGATACAGTAACTGGGGCAATGGGGGTGGGTATATTGGAGTCAGTGAGACTGGCTCAGGACAGGGAAGGACTCAGAGCCACTGTACATAGGGTTGCTATGGGTCCCAGGTGACACAAAGACACCTAACAACAAATGCCAAGAACATACATAGTAGAACCCCACCAACTCGACAGTTTCTACTTGTACAATCCAGTGGCAGGGACTGCTTCCTTCGAGTTATGGGACCTTTTTCGCTCTCCTTTTTTCAAGCTTCCTCCCTCACTACACTTACTGCTCCCTGGGCTTCTGAGTTCACCTTCCGAGTTTCTGTTTTCAATGTGGAATAACCAAGTTTTTGTTAGTGGTATTCCTTACAATAAAAAAGCAATACATGAGAGAGCTCTGGTGGCCTAGTGGCAAGAAGCTGCCCTGCAATCCCAGAGGTACACAGTTTGAATCCACCAGATGCTCTGCTGGAGAAGGAGGGGCAATCTCTTTCTGTACCATTCAGATGCAATTTTATGATACATACACAAAAAACAAAATTTAAAAAAATTTTTTAAAAAGAAAAGCAATACATGAATGAAGATTCACCAAGAACTCCAGGTGCTGCAACAATGAATGACTGGAAACCCTAAGTCTCTGTAAACTTCCATTAAAATTAATTTTTAAAAAAGTTAAACAAAAGGCCTCCAGGAGCCCACCTGCCTTGTACATTAAATTCCACAGAGCCCCAAACCTCACACTGCTAACCCAAGGGTTAGGTGAGCAGATGCACTGGTGGGCTAGCTCTGAAACCAAATCACGTCTGGTCCCACAGGCCCTCAGATACACCCGAAGCTGGTCCTCTGCAACGGTGCAAGGAATCACCCTCTCCCTTGCTGGGTCCCCAGTTCTCAGGGCCAGCAGCTATCGCAGTCCAGGAAAAGGAAGAAGTGGTATTCAAGAAAAGGCCCTTCTATGAATCAACCTCCCTCACCAATACCTCCTTCTGCCTTCCAACAGCACCTGGGATAGGGGGTTCCCTAGTATCCATGGACAACTCAGTTTCCAAAGTCCACAAAGTGCATGAAAGTTCCACCCCCCAGTCCCTAGTGTCACAGATGAACAACACAAGCAAAGGAGGAGATGGTAGAGCATTCTTTACAAAATCCCGCCGTTCACAGAGCCAGTCGAGAGCATTTGCGAGGGACCACCAGGCTGGGAGCCAAGGCCAAGGGTAGGGTCCCAGCCCTGTCCTCCATCTCACCCGGCATTCACTCACCTTGGGTCCATGAGAACTCCGGGCTACGGGCTTGGGTTGTGGCGGTGGCTGCTCTTCGCTTTCCTTCTCTTTGCCGCACTTCACTTTCTTGGCTGCCAGGGATTCGGCCACGTCGTCTGGCTGCCACTTGTTCTTGCAGGTAAAAACCCCGACGCTTTCCTGTTTCACTCGGGCCTGTCCACCCTTGCCTCTGACCTCGGCCTGGCCCCTCGGGGCAGCCGCATGGAGGCCATCGGCCCGGAGGCAGGGGGCTAGATTGAAGACCACGTCGCCGTCCACCTTCTCCATTTTCACTCGTCCCAGATCCACCTGGCTTCCAAGCTGCGACAGCTCTGTGCCAGAGGCCCTCTTGCCGCTTGGAACCACGTCCAAGACGAGTTCCTTGGGGTGGCTGTCATGAGGTAGCAAAGGCAGCTCGGGCAGCTTGCGCAGGTTTTGGGGGGTGGGCAGGACCAGCTCGTGGGACATGTAGGTGGCCAGCACTTGGTTCTTGGGTTTTGTGTCTCCAGCAGCTTTCAGGCCACAGGCCCCTTGGGGGCCTTCCATTTTAGGAGCACTGTCGGGGCAGGGGTGGGTCTCCGATTCCTCAGGACCCTTGTTCGCTCTGGCGTCCCCCCCACTGGGCTGAACAGACAGGGCCAGGGTCCCCGTCTGCGGGCTGAGAGTCAGGACGACAGGATTGATTTGTTCTTCGTAAGGCTTGGCAGCGATCCGGCACGTTTTGTTCTTGGTGACTGTGTCCTGCTCTGGAGCAAAGGGGGCCCCAGGCCTGGGCTGCCCCTCGGGCAGTCCATGCACAGCCTCACCTGAGCTGAGAGGTGGCCCCCCAGAAAACTCCGAGACCACGCTGGTGGGCCTGATGGGCACTCCCTGACTGGGGACCAGCTGCCCAGCACTGGAGATGCCAATGGAAAGCAGAGATGCCTGGTGGTACGGTGACCAGCCAACAGGCAGGACCTGGGTGCTGGTGGCTTTGCCATTGACCTGGCACCGTGGGTAAATGTTTGCCTGCCCTGTGGGCTTCCAGGACAGCTCCTTGGTCTGGCACCCCGGCAGCCCGGGGGCGATGCGCGCTGGGGGATACCGTTTAACTGTGCTCGGCTGTCCCTCAGTACCAGCCTGGCCGCCCTTCTTGCTGCAGGGGGCACCAGTGTTCTTAGGCTCGCCTTGGTCAATGATGGAGATGGGCTCCTGCTTGGGGAGGTGGCGGGGGTCTCGGGGGAGGCCCGGGTTGGCGTCCTTGTTCAGCAGCAGGGAGGCAGGCACTGGGTTGGCCACCCCCACATAGGTGCCGGGAATGGCGCTGATGAGCGCGGTGGAGTTCTTCACCCAGGTGCTAGGGTCCCCGTTCCGCACGATCTCCGGAAAGATGACGAAGGGTGAGGACGTGGCACCCAGGCAAGAGGTGACGCCGCTGCCGGCAGCCTGGGTGGTGCGCTGGGACCTGGACAGCACTGTGGAGAGGAGGGCCTTGCTGCTGGTGTGCACGGGGGTCAGCACGGGCATGGGGGGCGTCTTGCGCTGGTTCGGCAGCGGGAGCTTCTGGCGGTTGGACTTGGAGGAGAGGTCCAGGGGCATCTCACTGCACTCGGGGGGAGAAGCCATCTCTCGCTCCAGCTGCGGAGGCGACTTGAGGGGCGAGAAGGTAACAGAAGTCCCTTCTGTTTGCTGCTCAGTGCCACCTGGCATCTTGGTGGGGTGCGGTGGGGCTGCGCTCACGCTGGGGGCTGGCAGCAGAGTTGGCTGTGGGGTGGGCAGCACCTTGGCAGAAGTGGTGGAGAGGGACGTGTCTGCCAAAGTCCCGGGGGCCCCATCAGGCGCGGCCTGGGTGCCGGGGTTGCCAGATGGGGACGCACCGGGGAGTCTGTTGACCTCCAGAGACACCAGCTTGGAGTCTGAGGTCAGAGGCCGGGCCACAGAGAAGGCATACGGGTAAGACCGCAGCTCCGGGGAGGCCAGCACGCCAGGGAGACATCTGTCCTGCAGGTAGGACGGCAGGACGGGGAGCGTGAGAGTGGAGGAGACGCCCAGCGTGGTGGGCAGCGTGGCCACGCTGAGCGGTTGCCCACAGCTTGGTGGCGGGATATAGACCAACGGCTGGCTTGGGGTCAGCACTGTCCCCGGCTGGAAGGACAGCGGCACTTTTTGCATAGCTGGCGCCTGGGCGGTAGGAAAACACACTCGGCTCAAGCTAAAGGAGGCTGGGATGGGCGCTGAGGTGGGGATGACAGCTGGCGTGGCAGCCGGCATGGGCGTCGGGGCCGGCGTGAAGATGGGGGCCGGAGTGGGCGCAGGCACCGGTGTCGGGGCAAAGGCTGGGATGAGGGTGGGAGTCGAGGGTGGGCCAGAGGAGGGGGTCGGAGTGGGCATCGGCACAGATGGAGGCGCAGGGGCTGCTGGGGGTGTGGAATCGGGCATGGGGGCCAGGACCGGAGTGGGGACAGGAGCCAGGACCAAGGTGGGGGCTGAAGGGGGCACAGGAGCCTGGATCAGCGCCGAGACGGGGACTGAGAGGGGTGCAGGGGTGGGTGCGGAGAGCGGGACTGGGCCCGAAGGCGGGGCAGAAGCTGGCACTGGCACCAAGACCGAGGCCGAAACCGAAAGGGGGTTAGAATCAGAGAGAATCGTGGGCACTGCTGGTGGAGCCGGGGCCAGGGCTGGGACGGGCGCTAAGGGAGACGAGGACGCTGGAACCGAAGTGGTGACTTGGACAGGGACGAGCCCAGAGTGAGGCACTGGGGCAGGGACGGAGAGGGGGACCTGGAATGGATCCGGGACAGATGGGGGGACAGAGGCCGAGCCGGGGGCAGGGGGGCAGATGGGGGTGGGCAGTGGGCTGAAGTTAGTGGTCACCAGAGGCAAGGTCCCCTCCACGGGGACTCCAGTTCCCAGAGTTGCCAGAATGAAAGTGTTCTTCTCCCCAACATTGTGCCTGGTGTCCAGCACCTTGGCCCCAGGGACGGAGCAATCACCCGGCTTGCTCATCTGGGGGTTGCTGGGTGTCCAGGAGCAGTCGGCCCTGCTACCTCCAGCCTCAGTGCCCTCTGGAGGGGGCAGCTTGAGCCCGTCCCCGGGGCTGCTCAGTGGCACCAGGAGGCCCTCAGCCGCTGCCACATTTCCAGCATAGTCCAGTTTAGGCTGGGCATCGTCAGTTTTCTCTTCAGATTTGTGCCCAAGTTTTTCCGCTGAGCTGCCATCTGGGTCCGCCCCCCGGGCACTGCTGCCACTACCAACCGCTGTGAGCTCCACCTGCAATGACAGGGTGACATGCATCTCAGCTGGGTCCCTGTGGAGGGGACAAGTGTCCCTGGGTCCCTGAGAGACCTCTGCTGGCCCTGTCCGCAACTCTACCCACCGTATCTTGGCAGACACGGAAGGCAGCCACCAATTTCTGTCCCAGCTGCAATAACACTGGCAACCAACACCCTGGCCGTTCTCCCATCGCCCTCTTTGGGTCCACCAGCCGGGTCTGTTACCCAGATAGCAAAGCTCCACCCTCTGGTGGGCGGCAGGTGGTGGCACGTGTCCCCTTACCTTGGAAAAACTGCTACTGACACAAAACTCCTGAGATCCAAAGTGCTGGCAGTCACCTGTCGTAGACTCTTCATCAGAAAGAGGTGCTCTTCTAGTGGGGGGGACACAACAGAGAAAGGCCATGAGGTACAGCTTGAGGGGTCACCACCTGCTTCCCGGTGGCTTCTACCTGCCTGGCTCCCCCCACCCCAGCCCCCAGCACCTCCCCGCCTTGTTTCTCTCAATGACTTGTGGGAAACACACAAGATGAGAAGGGGAGATGGGGAACTCAGATCGCAAGCTGGGGCCCTCTGTGCCCAGGTCTGCAGATTCCTGTGAAGAAGTCCAGATGCCTTTTCCAGGCTGTCTCCCGGGGATTCTGGGGCTCTCGCCAGGTCTCAAGGGATAGGCACACGAAAGCACCAGGCCTTCCCCATCAAGGTGACGCCCTGGGATGCTCAAGACAGTGTCTTATTTAAAGCCCATGAGGAAGGCTGGGCCGGGGGGCCGATGGGGACAGTCTTTCGACAAGTCACCTGGGGATAGCCTCACTGTGTCGTGCGTCTTCGGTGTGACTTGTCCCTTAGTCGGCTGTGTCTGGAGCAGCCAGCACTTACTAACGCGTGTTACGATGCTACATAGCCACTAGGTCAATGGGTGCTCGGAGGAATCGGAAAGGTGCTCCTTCCGACGTGGCCTCTTTTTCAGCACATCTCCCAGCTCCTGGCAAACGACCTCTCTCCTATCCTTGGGCAACTGCCTAAGACCATCATGCCTTCTCTCCTATCCCTGCACCACTGCCTAAGCCCATCATGCCCTCTCTCCTATCCCTGCACCACTGCCTAAGCCCATCACCTCTCATGTCAACAAGCCCCCTCTGCCTCCCAAGCACCACCACGGGGGCGCGCTGGTGGCATAGTCCATAGGGAGCTGAGCTGCTGACTCCAGCACTACCACATTCACGTTCAGCCCACATGGAAGGCCCTCACAGCCGTGGACCTCCAATATGGGTTAGCACACACTAGAGGGAAGGAAGGGCTGGAGGCCCAAGGGAGAGCTGGGTCCTAAAGACCCACTCACTGACAGGTGAGTGCTTTATGGTCTTAAGCACAGAAGGTACTGTCCCTTGCCCCAGGGAAGATGAGGCAGGAACAGTAAGAACAGTCACAGAAGAAAGGCCCAACACATGCTTCTCCGACGGGCCGAAGCCCCTAGAATGTTCGGCGCCTCTAGGGAAAGGGGCTGTGCTTGGGTGTTGTTTGTTTTTTTTTTAATTTATTTTATTTCATTATTTTTGGTGTGTACCGTCAAATCAGATCTGACTGGTACAGGAGGAGATTGTTCCTCCTTCTCCAGCAGAGCATCTGGTGGATTTGAACCATGCACCTCTAAGACTGTAGTTGCAGCTTCTTGCCACTAGGCCACCAGAGCTCACTGTGCTTGGGTTTAACTCTGCCTTTTCTCTAGAACAAAGTCCCTGAAGGAGTCAACTCCTGTCTCACCAAAGAGCAGTCAGGGCACCTTTGGGGACCAAGGCCAACGAGTGAGAGGACAACCATCCACCCACAGAACCGGTCCTACTCTTACTCCCAATGGCACCTGTGATGAGAGAAAGGAAAGGGTAAGAGGTGGGTGGGTGGGGAGAAAGCTCAGGCCCTTTAAAGACGGCCTGGAAGGCAGAAATGGGAGGGGTCCACTGCTAGCCTGGAATGCCAGTCACAAACAAAAAGGGCCTAAAGGAAAAGGAAGAAATACATTCACATCAATCCTTAAGAGACCATGAAAGCCAGATCCATACCCAGCCTCGACCAGCACCAGCATTTCCCACTAGACTTCCCAGACACAGTTTTGAGGGGAAGGACAGGTGTGGGGACAAGTCGAGTTTCTGCTTCACTGACCCCCACAGAGGGGACTGCTTAGAGGAGACATGGTCCCTTGGGGTTCTCCAGCCTCCTGACCATCCAGAGGGGAGCGCGCTGCAGACCTAGACCTCCCTGCTCAGTTCCCACCTGCAGGAAATCGCACGGCACCAGCCACCATAATGGTAATGAGAGTAGGAGCAGTCCTAGCCACTCTGACCTGACTCACATCTCTACCCACCCACATGAAGTACCAGCCCCTGAAGCTTGGGGAGGTGCTATGTGATGTACCATTGAGTTGGAACTCACTCAGAGCTGACCCTCCAGAGGGCTTTCAGAGGCTGTAAATCACACAGAAGGAGACTGCCCATCTGTCTCCTGCAGAGCAACTGGTGGATTCGAACCACATGCCTGTGGGATGGCAGCACGGCTCCTTACCACTAAGAAGTGAGTACAGCTGAGCAGGCGTTCCCACTCTGGGATGGGAATAGGTTACAAGATGACCCAGGCTGGAGTTGGGGCTAGGGGCAGGGCTAGAGGGCTGCTGTGGGGCTGGGGAGGCAGAAGGAGCAGGGCTCAAGGCCAGCTCCAGTCATGCCTGAAAAGCAAGTCCGCTGCTTTCGTCCCACCACAGATGCCCCCACTGTGCCAGGATGCTGAACTTAAACCAGAAATGGCCACAGTCTCCCAGGCTGGCTGCTCCTGATTCTCACAGGCTAGCACCACCATCAAACTGCGCCTCTTCTCAGATCCTACTGGGCCCTGACAACAGAGCTCACAGAAACATACAGCCCAGCACACGCAAGGTTCCTTACTTGCAGCCCCAGCAGCCTTCGTCCACTTCAAGTCCCACCATGCCAAGATCTTCTATCCCAGCCAGAGCCCCCACAGACCAAACTGCTCACGTGGCACTGCCTTCTAGGAAGCTGTCCCTGATTTTGCCAGGAAGTCTTCATTCTTGCTTCTAGAATCCCCTCACTCTCACTGCCAATCTACCTCATGTGACTGTTAATTTGACCTCACTCCGTATAAGAAACCTCTACAGGATGGAGGAATGAAAGAATACCGAAAAGGAAGCAAACACGCCAGGGGAGAGATTTCGCTGATGGCCTGGGTAGAGCCAGCTGCCTGGGGCCAGCAAAAGTCCATGCTCCTGGTACCTGCAGCCCTGCATGCCAAAGCCAGACAGCCTTAAAGCCAAACCTGAAAACACCAAACCCCAGGTGCAGCTTTCAACCTGCAAGCTCTATGCTCTACAAGTTGTCAAATGCTGAGGAAGATGGTTTTTAAAAAAGGTGAGATCACATTTTGGAAATCAGCTGTAGTGCAGCCTAGGCTGGGGTGGGAAGGCGACAATAAAGGGTGGATGAGATCAGAAGTGACAACGTTTAAAAGGTCACCTTATCCACCAGGCCTATTTGGTGATTTAGCATCGCGAGGAAGGTCCTGTAAGAAAGAAAAAGCAGACTCCAGGCCTATGCCCTGCTCCTGGCTTTGCAGGGACTTCGAAGGAATGGAAGGGGCTCTGGTGTACAATGGTCACATCACGCAGGGGCTAGGAGAAAGGTCTGGACCTACCCAGTACCTCTGCAAGGAGGAAGAGCTGGCATTCCGCTCCCATAAAGATGTTACAGCCTAGAAAACCCTATATAACATTGGTACTCTGTCACACAGGGCTGCCTTGAGCCAGAATCAAAGTAAAGACACACAGCAACAATGTAACGAATAGTGAACTAAGTTATCTTGTCTGCTGGCTCTTTGAAGACTACAGTCCAGATCCCTTCATCTAAGTCTCAAATACTTTTAACAAGATCGGCATAACCCATCAATCAATGAGTATTTTGAAAAATTCATGTTCTTCAAGCAGATTCCAACTCTGAGCAACCCTATAGGATGGGGCAGAATGACCCCAAAGGGCTTGCAGCACTGGAAATCTTTATGGAATCCGATGACTTCATCTATCCCCTGAAGAGCAGCTGGTGGGTTCAAACCTTGGGCCTTTCAGACAGCAGGCAAATGTTTTAATCATTGTACCACCAGGGCGCCTACGCACACGTCCACAAATCAATACCAGCGGCCTTCCTTCGCTCACGTCATTTCTTAAGTGACTGTTGACAGGATACTTCTCGTGCGCAAAGATTACCTTTTTCACTCTGTAGTTGAGGACTGTTTTCTTTTCTGTGTTCTTGACTTGTGCATTCTAAAATTAAATTCCTTTTAAGTCCACCTCTAACTTGTTCCTCAGTACAAAAAAATTAAGACATCAAGCACAAAAAAGGCTTAAAGAGGGAGGAAAAAAAAAGATTTGTTCTCCTTAACCTCACTCTCAGACAAGCAGGTAACTTCTCCCGTTGAGAGCCGAACAAGAAGGCAAACATGAACATACTCAACCCTTTTCTCTTCGAAATGATTGCTACTCCCCCACTTGCACACACTTCTGAGATTTACCCATGAAAACTCCAGATCTTGAACCCGGGGTAAGCGCTATTCTGTGTTCTAGGTGATTCACCTGCTATATCAGAATGGAAACAATCAACTAATTGAACCATCAGTCAAACACCAACAAGCATAGTGGAGTGGCACCTTCCCTGAAAATGGGCAAGGCATTGCAGCCACCACACACAGCTCTTGGCCGAGGGTTAGGAAAATCTAAACTAAGACATGAAAGGCCGATTTGAGTGCCTTGGTGTGGGGCATGGTCTGGAATTGGCATATCCTGGTCAACCACGTGTTCTAGTGAACATAAAAGTACACACACACCCACACACACTCCCAATCAGGCACGCACCACAACTTTCACCTTCCATGAAAACTTGGTTAACTGAGACCAGATCAGAAGCATTTGATGGTACCTGCTACCACCACCACCACTCTGACCAAGGATGTGAAAAGATATGATAGAATGGGAGGAAAATCTACAACAAAACTCAAATTCCAGGGGAGCTCTGGTGGCTTAGTGGCAAGAAGCTGCACTGCAATCCCAGAGGTACATGGTTCGAATCCACCAGATGCTCTGCTGGAGAAGGAGGGGCAATCTCCTCCTGTACCAATCAGATCTGATTTGATGGTACACATACAAAAAAAAGGAAAAAAGAAAAAAAAAGTGCCTTTCTTCCCAACTTCCCATCAAAGACCACAAGTATCATGTACATGTTCCCGAACTCCAAAATTCTGTTTGTTTGAATCAATATTAAAAAAAAAAAAATTGAAGTTGTTATCATCCTTTTTTGCTAACCAAGTCTTCAAAGTCTGGTGTGAAATTTACAAAAAAGAACCACCCCAAAACAAAACCCCAACATTGCCATCCATTCTCACTCACAGGGACCTGGAGGATAGAGCAGAAGCACCTCAGAAGGTTGCCAAGGCTGTAAAACTTTGAGGGCCCAGGCTGCCCCCATTTTGGTCCTCCAGAGCAGCTGGTGGCTTTGAACTACCAACCATCATGGTAGCACCTGAATGCTTAGAACACTGCACTGCCAGAGCTACCTGTATAGCTGTATCTCAAGTCTAACAAAATCCATTGCAAGTGCTCAGCAGCTACCTGTGGCGAGAAACACCCCTGCAATAGTCCCCCAAGCTTACCCCTTACCCACAATCCGACAGCTCGTAACAGGTAGACAAATACACGGCACAGAAGGCCATCCGTCTGCCTCCTCACCTTTCTGTGGCCAGGGACAGCAGGGCAGAGCAGGTCACTCACATGGTCCCATCCCATCTCCTCTAAGGACAATTAGAGGGCATCCATCGTCACCTCCCTGAGGTCCTGCTGGGGACAGCCCTCTGGTGACTGCCCTCCAGCCAGAGGCCACTGACAGCCATCGCCCCAGCCCGCTCACCTCTCCTCGTTGATGCCACACATGCGAATTCGGTCAGAACTGGTCCACTTGAGCACACCGCTGTAGAGCGGGGCTGTCGAGATCATGACAGCCACTCACCACCAGCTAGGAATGTGCTACGGCCACTCCCCCCTGGGGGGAAAAAAAAGAAAGAAAAATCAGAACTGGTACCAGCGACAGCTGCTCTAACCACCTTTTCCACAGAAACTCATTTTAATAAAAGGCATTATGGCATCGGCACGTTAGAGCACGGTCTAACAAGCCAGCCTGCGACAGAAGAACACAGCCCAAGCGGGGACGGGGAGGGGGGACTCCCACTTTTCAGGAATTGGTATGTTTCAGAAGGGAGATGAGGCCACTGTGAACAACCTCGAGTGATTTTTAAATTATCTTTCAGACATAGTGTTCAAGGAAACCCAATCCAGTTCAGACAAATGAGGGTTTTCTGCCCACTTTTAGCCTAAGTGACCACAATTAGAGGGTCGTTCCCATATATGAACAGCGGGTTAGGGGGCAGCTGGGGGGGTCCCCTCTCTCCTCTGTCTGCTCTAATCCTTGCGCACTCCAGTATGTAAGTGATGTAGAAATTTAAGCTCTCCAGAGGCACCCACTTTGTTTATAAACCTTTCAAAACTACTCAATTTGGATTCCAGGTTGGGCATCGTGGGTCAGCCTTAACCTGGTCACAAAGCTCCCTCTAAATCAGAGCCAATCTTCCTGGTACAGCTCTGACCACAAGCAAGGGAACAAAAGATGGTCCCTTCAAGAACCACACATTTCTTTTCTGTCCTCACCCTCTGCCACTCCACACCCCACCCCACCCCAGTTCCCCAGCTCTCCCACCCCCCTCACCAGCCGATGCTCTGCTCTCCCTGAGCAATAACTACCAGCCCAGGCAGGTCACCTTCTAGAGAAAATGAGGCATTGGGTGGGGGGGCATGCTTTATCCAATGAGCTGAACTCGAGATCCTTAAAACCCCTGAGTTAATGTATTAGCTGAAATCCTGCTGCATCAAAGCTTAACAGGACCCTAAGTTGATCAGAATGTTAGGCTGCTCTCCACCTGCCAGAGAAACAAACAAATCACACAGCCATGTCAGGGATTTGCTCATTTACCTTGTATGTCATTTTCAGACACTGTCTGACATGCTTATCACTTATTCATTCAGCAAATGTCTCCTAAGCTCCTACTACGTGCCAGCGCTGCTCTAAGGTGCCACGGAGTTGATTTCCAACTCATAGCGACCCCGTGCGATGGAGGAAAACCGTCGTCCCATTGAGTTTTCTAGGCTGTAATCTTTACAGGACTAGACTGCCGGCTCGTTCCCCTGTGGAGCCAGTGAGTGAGTTTGAACCGTCAACCTTCCACTTGGCACTTAGCCACTGTACCACCGGGCTGCCTAGAGGCTCAACAACGAACCAAGCAGATGGCAAGTCCCTGCCTTGACGGGAGCTTTCTTTCCAGCGGGACTAGATAGGACTGTAGACAAGTCTGATGTTATAATATGCTACGAGCTGGCATGACACAAGCAAAGGTGCCTGAGCATGGAGCAGGATGGCAGGCTTGTCATTGGTGAGTCAGCCCCATACACAACAGAACAACATACTGCTTAAGTCTTGTATCCCCCCACCCCATTGGTCGTATAATGGATAAATAGGGCTTTTATTAGCTGATTTTTCAGAAGGGGATCACCAGGCCTTTCTTCCTAGTCCATCCGAGTCTGGAAGCTCTGCTGAAACCTGCTGGATGTCACAGCATCGGGCAAGCTTCCGCTGATGGATGGGTAGTGGCTGAGCACGAGATGGACTGGTCAAGAATCAGACCTGCTTCTCGCACACAGACGGGGAACATTCTTCCACGGCACCACTCCTATCCCGACCCTGGGGGCAGCGCACCAAAATCGGAAATGGTCTTGTTGAGAAAGTGACATTGAGACAATGTGAAGGAGGTGAAGGGATGAGCCGCACTGTTCTCTGGACAAAAGTGTACTACAGACAGAAGAACCATTTAAGAACCATTTAAATGCAAGAAGCTGCACTGCAATCCCAGAGGTGTGCGGTTCGAATCCACCAGATGCTCTCCTGGAAAAGGAGGGACAATCTCCTCCTATACCACTCAGATCTGATTTGATGGTACACACACACAAAAATATAATAAAGTGTAAAAAAAAAAAACCCAAACAAAAACTCAAAACATTTAGATGAAGGCCCTAAGGCAGGAGGCCACCTGTCCCCATCAAGGAAGGGTCAGGAGGCCAGTGACCCTGGCACAAGGGTGGTCAGCCAGCAGAGCAGGAAGCACCCCATCTCTTGGCCAACCTTACTCACCACGTCTGCCGTCTGCAGCACAGGCTAGTGCTGCCCACTTAGGCTTGCTCTTCGTCCGTTGCCCTATTTCCTGACCTGGTGCCTACTGGCATGTCACCACCACTGGCCCGTGTCCGTCTAAGCACTCCAGACACCTGGGCCATTCACCGCCCCTTGCCTCTGCCACCCTGTCCAGTCTCGTCCCCTTCGGATTGCTTTCCTGCCCCCACCCTTCTCTGTCTCCCTTCACCCTTCCCTCCTTTCTCTTTATTATTCATTTATGTTGTTGTGGCTGAGAATAGGCCCAGCAGAACCTACAAGAATTCAACACTGTCTACACATACAGCTCACAGAGCTGTATTGTATTCTTCGAGCTGTGCACGCCATTTGCCTCCGTTTCCAAACAGCTTCTCCATGAGCAGAAACTCACTGCTCCCTAATAATGTCCCGTCTAACCTTTCGAGTTACTGTTGTCATTCTGACGCCATGTTTCCTTCCTATCTTTTCACTCTTCCTCCTGCTTCTGTCTCTTCTTCCCCCAACTATTCTCCCAACCATCTCTCCTCCTCCTCTTCCTCATTCTCATCTTCCCCAGTCTCTGCACAGCCCTGGGGTCCTTTCTGCTTCGCCTTCTTCTTTGCATCTCTCCCCTCCTCTCCCCTGCACTCTGTCTTACCTTCCCATTTCCCCAGTCTCCCCTTCAGCCTTGCTCCTCCCATCTTTTCGTTTCTGCCTCTATTTCAGACTTTCTCTTTCCCCTCCTTCTGTCTCTACGTATGCCCTATCTCAGCTCTCGCTGGCTCTCCTCTACTCCTATCTTTGTACCCTTGTGTGTCTACATCTTCCCTGTCCCCTCTCCCCCTCAGCTTGGGAGCTCCCCCCGGACTCCCACATCTGATCTCTAGCCCTGACCTCTCTCCTTTGGCCCTGACCAGAATTTCCAGCTGCCAGCCATACACACTGCTAATTGGATGTCTACCAAGCCCCTCAAACTCAACATGTCTCAAGCCACACTGATTATCTGTTCTCATAACCTTGCTCCCTACTCCGTACCCCCTGCGTGCTTTCTATCTTGGTTAATAGAACCATTATCCCCTAGCGTGGAAATCTGTGCACCGCCTTCAACTCCTCTCCCTCACTGCCCACATCCAATCAGAAGTCAAGTCTGAACAATGCTATCACCAGCCTTTCCTCGGACCCTTCTCCCACTCCCCAGACGCAAGCCTTCATCATCTCTCACCCAGAATATTATAACAGCCTCTTAACTGGCCCCTCTGTCTCCAATCTCTTGATTCTACAATCAATTCATCTTCTAAAGTACCAGTTCGATCATGTCACCCCCTCCTGCCTCAAAAGCTTTCAACAGCTTTCCTCTCCCTTCAGAATCAAGCTCACATTTTTAGCACAGCATTCAGGGCCCTCTACGATCTCCCCTCAAACTTCCCCCACCTCCAGCCTCCTCTTCCACCACATTCTGCCATTCCCCTATTGTACCAGCCACCCCCAGCTCCTGACCCTTCCCTAAACAAACCTGCCCGGTTCAAGATCCAGCCAGTTCTTCATTCTGAACCGGCCTCTCCCATGCCCTCTCTTTGTCATCCTTCAAAGCCTAGCTTAAATGTGATCATGTCGTCTCCCCAGTCCCCATCCAAGCTAGCCCCTCCCCTCTCTGGTTCTCCTCCAAACATTTCATTCATACCTCGACTACAGCACTGACTCTTACTCTGCCCTGCAGGGTGGTCAGCTAGTGACTAGCTGATGGCCAGCCGGTGGCACGGTGGCACAGCACGGCTGTCTCCTCCACTAAAAATTTAGCTGCTCAAGGTAAGAGATGCTTTCTTTTTATCTCTCTGGTTTCTCCACAATGTCTTAACACGCAGTACAAAACCAAACTCAAACCGACCACTGTCAGTTTGATTCCAACCCCTGCTGCCCTCCTTCCTACTGGATTCCCGGAGCTGTTTCTCCCTCCTAGGGACAGGCTGCCTCGTCTTTCTCCCACGGAGGGGCTGGCTGATTCGTACCACCGACTTTTCAGTTAGTAACCCAACATGTAAGCCACTACGGCACTAGAGCTCCTTTACATGCAGTAAGTGCTCAGTAAATGTGTGTTATATGAGACTGAAGTCAGGATGAGAATGACGGTAAATGCCCTGAGAAATTATAAGAGGGAGAAGAGGATAGGAAGGGGAGTTTAGGAGATGAAATGACTGACTATTGCAGAACAAAATTTTGTATGCCAATGTGGGGAAGAAAGAAACAAAAGATGCAATGCCCACAGCACACCCGACCCATCTGCCAATTCTAGTCTGATTCAATGTTGCTGAGCTATTTCGCACCACTCTAAGTGGCAGGTGAAAAACACGCAAACTCTTGTCTTGTGGGGTGGTCTGGATTTACGTCCACCCTGCCCATCCCTACCAAAACACTTTGGGGGGGCGATACTCATTTTGCCTCCATTTGCAATTCAGTTCCTTTAGCCTATCAAATTTTGTGCTGTTGGACTTTTTCTTTCAACCAGTTATAACATCCATCTGGTCCCCTCTCCGGTTGATTAATGAGGAAAATAAAATCCTTAACACGTGCTCACTTTTATGTCTGTGTAAAAGTCATGATTTTACCTTCTTCCTAAACTCACCCGGTAACAATTCCAAGACAGCCCTGTGGTTAATACACAGTTCAGCAAGGGTTGAGATGGATGGGTTGGTTGGTTGGGTGAATCAAGTTAAATGATTTCTTAGAATTTTTTTTTAATGTTCCGGCTTAAGAAACAATGCCT